CCCTTCCCACTTCTCTCTCCAAAACAAGCCTTTCTGTTATTCTCTATCCAGTTACTTGCTGTTGCCTTCATAGTATTTATCACACTGGAATCCTTATATTTTTGCCTTGTATAAGGTCAATTGTAGCACCTTGAGGGTAGAACTGTGTCTGATTTACCTGAACTACCTCTCTACAATCTGTCCCTAGCACATATCACATAAGTATCACTCAGAGCTAGCAGAGAGAAGACAGCAAGAGACTGAGAAAGTCTCCCATGAACATTTCAGGCCTGGTCCAGGTTACACAAGAAACCAAGATGCTCTCCTGGGGTCCATCAAACACTCCTGGAGTCTTTCAGAGGGTCCCCATTGGCCTTGAGTGACTAATTTCTGCCCTTGAAATTAGCACCTAGCACCTGGCCCTGAGTCTATCTTGGTGCCTTTGGAGAAACAGGCTGCTGGCTCTGGAAGCTGGTAGATTTCCAAACATTTGCATAGACTCAGAACTCTTGCTGTACTCATGCTTTTGTAGGAAAATAGTGCTTGTGCACACCCCACTGATTACACGAGGAGCAATGTCTCAGTCCAGTCATTCTATCCCTCAGTGTGCTATAGGAACCACTGCTGAGCTTGAATTGTGTCTCTTATGGATGAGACGAAGTGATTTGGGTGCTCGGAGGTAGGATCCCATGGAGTGGGAGCCACTAGTCCTGGAGTGAAGAAGCCACTCTGTACTGAGAAGCCATATGCCAGATAAGGCTCTGGATTGTCCTGAGTTCTGTGTCCAGGTCTATGAGATTGAGAAAGCAATAAAATCACTGAATTCAATGTCACCAGCTCCTCCCTCCCCAAACAGACACCTTGTGTACACATATCAACAAGATGTGTCAGGAGAAGTTCCTTCTGCTCAAGTCCCTGGGTCGTTCCTATCTACTGTTATGGTCATTTTCACAGACTGTGTCAAGGGCTGTCTTCTGAGCCATGACTGGAATCTCTTAACTGCTTAGTGCTTGGTTTGTCTGATCTCTCCAACTCAAAAGCTTCTCAAGGACAAGGATGGACAAGGGTCTTGGAGCCCCTCCTTCTCCCTAGCTCAGAGCCTGGCAAATAGGAGGCATCCAATTAATGCCCATTGGTTGGATCTGGTTTAGTTATGTCAAGGGCTCCTTCCAGCTCTCTGGCTGGAGCTGCCTTCTGCCATTTGATTCTCCCTCGATTCTAGTTGCTTGCTGGGTGGAGTGGGAAGGAGAGTGACAGATGGAAAGATGAGGGGCAGGAGCGAGGCGAGATGGGAGACTGGGTCGGGTGTTCTTGAAATTGAGTGAGGCTGGCGGGGGCACAGACACTGAGAAGGAGCCCGAGGCAGGGAGGGAGGGAGAGAGAGAGTAGGAGATGGAGATAGATCACCAGATGCCAAAGCATTCAGAACATCCCTGAATCTCCCTGGGACATCTCTCTGGAGAGGCCGGCAGCAAAGACCCTTTATTCCATCTCTAATTAAGGATCAGCAATGATATGCTCAGGCCCAGGAAGGAAAACTACAGTGACTAACATTCTTAATGTCATTACAAATAATTAAATTGCAGAGTCATTTCTTATATCAAGCCTGGGCTTTTTTCAGCACTATATTTCAAAAGGAAACACAGCAAAGCCACAGGGGTGTTAGAGAGAACTGTGGGCAGTCTTCCTCTTTAACACATGGTGGACAGAGGGCTGTAGTTGGTTTCACAGTCCATGGGAAGCTTTTCTGCTATTTTGTGTGCATAATAGTGGACATAATATGCTTTCACAAACCCGTTCTTTTTGTATTTTGAGGAGAGGAAAAAGGTTACTAGCCCCATGCTGCAGAAGTAGTGATGTGAAAATACGACATAAAAATAGTCACTGAGTGGCCTCCTTACCAGCTTGTTATGCATCATCCTTCATAGCCTTGACAAGCTTTTGAGGTCTGAGCCAGAACTCAAATCTGCACACTCTAAGAGCACACAGGCTTAAGCCCTATGCCATATTTTATGTTCAACAAATATTTCCTAAGCATCTACTGCACATCAGGCACTATGCTGGCTGATGAGATACAGATTCCCGTCTTGGGGGAGGAAGATGATATTCTAATACAATAGGAGATATAATAAATGAGCTATGAAGAAATTTTTAAAAAGGGATAAGGTCAAAGGCATCCAGTAGGTGGTGGCAGTGTCAGGTGCTTCCTGAGGAGCTGAGTAACAAGAAGGACCCTTGTGGAAAGATATAGTGAAGAATATTCCAGACAGAAGGAATCTAAAAATGTTCACATTATTTGGCTCAGTAATTCTACTTCTGCATATCCATTGTAAGACAATAAGATTTTTAAAAATAAGAAATAGACCATCAGTGCTAGTTTATAATAATAAAACAGTTAGAAATGACCTAAAATCCAATAGGAGAAAATGTCAAGTAATCATAACATATGTGTTTGCTGAAATATCATGTAGGCATGAAAAATAACTCGACAGGCTTTGATTCTGGCTCAGAGATACAACTATCCTATCCTTCCTATCAATCACAACTAAAAACCCAGGCTATAACATGCAAAATAACTATCAGAGTACTCTGAAAAGTGAATAACAGGTGGAGTAAGAGGGAAATCAAAAGTAGGACAAATGAAGACATGGAAGTGGGAGTCCTCAATCCCCACCCCAGTAATTCTCAGCTTGGATGCTATGACAGCCAAGTCCTGGAACTATACCACAGATGTGGACAGAGCAGGGTCCAAGAGAAGCCCTCTCTCTGTGCTCTGTGGGCAAAAAAAAAAACCCTTTTGGCTTTATTTCTCTTTTCACTCTCCAAGCCCTGTGCCCAAGCAAGCCCTAGGCATAAAGCTGTGGTCTTTAGCACCAGTGGACACTGCCGCCATTGCAGCCCTTAAAGTTCTGAGCAAAGTCCTCTGACTAGGGGAATTTGGAGAAACATTTCCTGTGGCCCAAAGACCCGTGGGAAAGATGCCTGTCCTCAATTTCTATCTCCTCTCTACGTCTGGGTCTGCATCTGCATCTGCGTCTGCGTCTACCCCTACTCCCACCCCTGCCCCTGCCCCCACCTCAACTCTGTCCTACTTTGTCCCAAGGTAGACTTAGTCATGAGAAGTGTGTGAAAACACAAGGAATTTTTAAAAAGACAAATTTCCAACCAGAGCACAGGAAAGGGAGCTCCAAGGGTTAAAAAGAGTGGAGGAAATCCAGAAGAGGAGGAAGCTGGAGAGGGACTTATGCCTGCATTGAAGGTCCAGACTTATCTCTGAGCCATGTATGTATGGAAATGACACAAAGCAGCAGCAACAAGGCTTTCAGAACTTGACTTCCGGGTAACTCTGGGTGATGCCCACACAGGACATATCCAAATAGCACTGCAAGACTTTGAAAACTAAGCTATAACACTGCAAACTGCAGTCTATACAAAATGGTAGAAACTGTGGTCTGATTCTTATTGTCTGCTTAAGCAAAATAAAACAAGGAACTAAATAACACTTCAGGAAATAAAACAACATTTATCAGATTTTAATGGCCTCCATAATCTCACAATATAGTATTCAAAATATTCAGGATAAGGTCCAAAACTAGTCAACATGCAAAGAAATAGACAAATCCCAAAAATTCTCAATGGAAAAGATAGTTAATCCAAGCCAACCAAAAGAAGGCCCAGGTGTTTGAATTATCAGACCAAGAGTTTAAAGCAGTTTTGACAATCACTCCATAAAGTAAGGATGAACACTCTTAAACAGAAAGTTAAATTTCTCAGCAAAGAAATAGAACCAATAAATGAGACAAAAGGAAAATTTATAACTGAAATTATAGTAGCAGAGTGTTTTTAAAGAAATCATTAAGTGAAAACAATAACAGAATCCAGGTATAAAAGGAATCCATTCAATATAAAGTATGGGACAAGCAAAAGAAAAAAAGATTGAAAAAAGTAGAGTCTCAGGACCCTTTGGAACCATGTCAAAAACCTAATGTTCATGCCATTAGACACCCACAAAGAACATGATACAAAAGACATCTGAGTAAATAACATCTTAAAACTTTCCAAATTTAAACTGAGCATGGTGGTGCATGTCTGTAATCCTAGCACTCCTGAGAGGCTGAGGTACAGATTTCAAGTCTGAGTCTAGCCAAGGCAAGTCAGTGGCTTATTAAGACCCTGTATCAAACATAAAAATGTATAAAATGACTGCAGATGTAGCTGAGTCACACACACAGAGAGAGTTCTCAAATTTAGCAACAGACAAATATACAAGTTCAAGAAACTGAACACCTGTAGAAAAATAAAGTAAAAGAAAACTCATTTCAAATCATCTTAATCAACTTCTGAAAAGCAAAGATGAAAACATACCTTGAAGGCTCTCAGAGAAAGATGGTGCAGAATGTACAGGGTAACAACTGTTTGAATGACTGCAGATTTTTCACTAGAAATCATGAAAACCAGAAGACAGTTGAAGATAATTTTTAAAGTTCTCAAAGGCAAGAATTCTTTACCTAACAAAAATATTCTTCACTGTGAAGGAGAGCCAAGACAATTTATCACTAATAGTACATAAATTTTATATATAAGAACAATCAAAATTATTTTCCAAAGAGTATGTAATAACTTTGAAAATTTTCTATAACCCAATATTTAAAAAATCAAGATTCTAAATTTTTAAAATATGAATACAGTTATGCCCCAAAATATTGTTGACAGAAAAGTTTAGATGGAAATAAAACAAAACATTATTTTTTAACTTCTTTTGGTAGCAGCAATTTCCTCTTCATTTTATTTTTCTATATTTTCTAACCATTCAATGGATAATCAACTATTTGTACCATTAAAAATTACTTCTATTTTTTAAACAAATACTTCTAAATGTACTGCTTAGTTTAGGGAAAAGGTGGACAAATATCTCAATTTTATTACAGGAAAATAACATGTTTAAAATTACAGATTTATTTTAGAGAGGAGGGGTATGGGACAGTGTCCACCAGGTGAAGAAAATGGTCAATCATTTCACCTTTCATTTATTTCCAGAGGTTCCAGTTATCTAAAATTGAGATTTTCAAAAGGAACACCTGAAGTTCAAAATAATCAAACATTTTTCATAACTTGCCTGACATTTCTTGATTTGATTTACACAGAGGTGTTCATGGAAAAATTCTCTTTCCAAGATGCTAATGGTTATCACTGTCCCACGCTTGATACTGTCATAAACCAAAAAGAAAAATTAATCACAAAAAGTGAAAACAGAAACCATCCTTTATCCAACAGCAGAAGTAGATGTAAAAGCGTAAGGGATGCTGTGGGCAGGAGACAAGAACAACTGAGAGGCAACATATCAAAAGACAAGGTATGAGGACCACTGCATAGGAGCTCAGTCTCTACACTGTGCACATAATGAAAGAGGCATGGACACAAAGCTGAGTGCTAATAATTCAAGGTACTGACAGGCTGATGGGGAAAACAGACACATATGCCATTATTAGCCTTAGTGGAGAAGAGAGAGGCAGACATCCAAGAAGATAAAAACAATCCCAGGAGACACGGCAGTTCTACTCCACTTTGGGAAGAAGAGAAAATTTCTGACTCAGAGCTCTCTTAGGAAATGGGAAGCAGAGACTGATGTCTGAAAACTGTGGGGTATGATGTCTGAAGACTTCCCCTTCATTCAAGTCTTTTACCACTCTTCCAATTGTTCCTTGCAAGGCCCTTTGAACCTTTTCTCTTTAAATAAGGATCTCTTGTTCTGTCCTAGGATTTCTCAGCCTGAGAACCAGTGACATTTGGGGGCAGGTATTTCTATTGTAGGGGCCTGTGAGATCTGGTACCTTGTGAGATGTTCAGCAGCATCCCTGATCACTGGGTCTCAGCAGTACCTGCACCACACAGTTATGAGAGCCAGAATGTCTCCAAAATTGAAAAATACTCCCAGGGAGCAAAATCACCCTGACTGAGAATCATTGCCCTATGCATTTTAAAAACTGCATAGACAGTTATTGCTAAAGAAACAGGACGTGGGTCTTGTCTTAACTATAGGTGTGATCAGTGAGCCCAATAGAGCCTACGGGAATAAAAGCAAAAGTATATATCTATATAATCAAGATTTTTCAAAAATTTGAGTAGAGTAATTTTTTCTAGATAAAATGAAGTTTTCTTTTTCTAAAAATTTATCAATGCCCCTCTTAGATATTTACTTTAGGTACTGATTCATTCAAGCAAGACTCATTAAGCATTGGGTTCCAATTCTCCTTACTCAGCAGCAGTCAGCCATTTGTATCTGTAGTAATTCTCCATAGTTTGCCTAAGCATATATGAGACTTTACACTTTACAAACTATTTTTGCCTTACTGAGTCTCATAACATTTCTGAGAACTGAAATTAAATTCCCCAAAGGAAAGGAGGCTGAGAGAGGTACAATAACTCTCCCAAGTGGCTTGCAATTGGGGACGGGGAGGGAAGCTTCTCCTAATGGAATGGAACAGCTATAGAATGCAGAAGGAGTGGGAGAGCTCCATTCTGCAACCCCAATACAATGATTCAATTAGGCAGAAACCATACTGCATAACAAGCTGTCATGAAACAGAATGTTCACACATGCCAATGTATTACCCCACAGACACCTGGCTCCTTCTAAAGGATGAGTGGGCCCAGCAGGGAGACATGTCACTTTTGACACCTCAATCAAGACATCAGCAGAATAACTATGGTACAACATGATACCATGCAATGCACAATCCTATCCTTCATGTATGGGGAACTCATCAAAGAAAGATCAAGCCTCAACCCAATACCCAGATCAGAGGAGCTGCAAGTGGCAGGAGAAAACATAACATAGGCACAAGGACACAGTAAAACAAAGCAACAAGACAGTTTGCAATGTCTGGAAATGAGAACCAAGACTAGGGGATTTTCTGAAAGACAATGGTATACATTCTTTAAAAAATTAATGTCATGGAAAGAAAAAATGGGGAGAGACCATTCTAGATTTAAAAAGGTTTAGTCAAAACAACCAAACATAATGTGTGTACCTGAATTGAATCTTAGGTTTTAAAAAACAGATCTGAAACACACTCATAGGACAGATAAGGTAGTTGAAAATAAACTGGATATTGAATAATTTAAATGATTGTTTTTCAAATGTAAGCATAATATTGTGGTTATATAAATAAAAAGGGGAAATACCTCTTTTTCTCTCTGCATTCCCCTAGACCTTCATTTCTGACACTACATGTGTATGTTGTACACCAGGAAGTTCTCCAAATCTTCAGACACCAACTAGCTGTTCTACAACTCAGTTATGGCAGTAAGTACCTGTCAGTCTAAGTTACTTGTTAACTATATGCTAACTACCTGTTTGTGTAGACACTCTCAAGCAAACGGTTGTCCTACAAGACTACTCCCGCTTCAGATGCCAGTTGTCTATGTGGTGGGTCCCAGGTTTCTCACACATATATCTGCCTTGGCTACAAGTTGGAGGCTCCTACAGAACTGGGGTTCTATAATTTGCTGTGGGGATTCACAGAACTCAGGGAAACTTTCATTTCCTGGTTTATTATAGGCCATATAATGAAGTATCCAGGTGCAAAGTCCTGAGGAAGAGGTACCTTGGCTTAGGTCTGGAGGGATCCCTGACCTAAGAGACTCTGTCCTCATAGACTTGGGGTGTGTTTCCCCCTCAGAACATGAATATATTCACCAACCTGGAGGCTTTTTAAGCCTTGTTGTTATGAGATTTTTATGCCAACATCTCACAGGCATGTTAATGTGATTATGATTTACTCAGTCTCCAGCCCAATTCTCTTTCCAGGAGGTTAGGGTGGGGCTGAAAGTTCTAGACTTCTAATCATGGCTTTGTCTTTCCGGTGACCACCCCCCATACTGAAGCTATCCACGAGCCATGAGGATGCTTCTCATTGGAACAAAAGATAACCTTGCCACCCAAGAACTTCTGAGGAATTTAGGAGCTCTGTGTCAGGAACTAGGGACAAAGACTATATAAATATACAGTCTTTTATTCCCCCTCATTATGTCATACTAAGGAAATGTCTTGGTTCCCAGGAGATATGTACTGAAATTTTAGGAAAGGAGATAAAGTGTCACAACAGTTGTAACTTATTTTCAAATATTCATATATATGGACAAATCTATACATGAATCATCTAGAATATACATAATATATTCTGTATATACATATATGATGTATAATATGCATATACTATATATACTTTGATATATAATATAATAATATACTTATTCACAGAAACAGAGTGTGATCAAATGCAGCAAAATATCAAACTGAAGTGAAAGCAAAAGGTTTTCAACTATTCTGTAAATTCAATAAATTTTTTAAAGGCCATGGGCTCCAGCCCCCATAGCAATTTGTTAATGTCCCCATTCAGCACATGATAGGTGAGCTACCCCTTCTCTACAGCACAGTATTTGTTCTCAAAGCTGGTAACCTCAGGCCCAGCTCGGCAGGGTCCTGCTCTCATGATGCCCACCAGACATGGTAGAGGGATGTGTCCTCTGTGTACTATTTAAGCCCTAAATACAGGGGGTTTTCCCTGCATCTGGCATAAGGTATTAGCAAGAAGAAGTTCAGGGAACAATCCACTGGTTATTTTTTTCCATTAGGTATAATATCTAATCATGAAAAATCAGCATCACTTTAAACACACACACACACAGAGAAGGCAGGCTTGAATGTTTGCCTACTTCTTCAGCAAGTTTCCAGGCTTCATTAAGCAGTGGAGATTATTAGAAAGAATCACGCACACTTATTAATTTTGTTTCACAGTGAATCAAAGATCATCTTTGTCAGCGTTCTCTAAATCTGCAGAACACATAGGCAGCTTGATTGCTAATTAGCGTTCAGAGAGAGATAGTGGCTTCAACAACAGTTTCACATAGTAGAATGAGTTTAATTGAAATGCATAAATTCTAAACAACACTCTAATTTGTAAACATCATCTTAGAAATCTTATGCCTCTGCCAAAATATTGGTAAGTTGCACATATCCAATAAGATTAGCATCTTCATCTCCCTTGAGCATCAGGAGGTAGAGAGTAATCTTCCTACAACACTGTATCCTTCCCCAGCCTACCACATGGACATATCGTGTCATATCTTCTGGCTGCTTTTCTAGCTTCTCCCCTGCTCAGCTTTAAGGTTCTTTATGCATATGAGTTGACACCCTACTGAATGTCAAGGCTGTGTCTTAGAAACTAGGGATACTGCAGTGAACATACTTATGGAGCCTCCAGATGCAGCTATAACGCACTGCAATAACTTCACAGTAAAAGTTAGTCTGAAAACTCTATACATTAGGCAAAAATGATTAAGACTCATTTGCATTGAGTCTTAATCCCAGTAACATTTAGACATACAATGCTTAAAAACCCAGCGGGATCTTGGGCTGCAAGGGCCCACAGCAAGACATGCCCTCCTTTTAGAGAAACTCTCCTGGGCAAGCTCTTCTCATGTTGGGTCACACAAGGGCCGAAGGCAAGCCCAGCCATGCCTGTGCCACGTCCATCACATTCCCAAGCAAATCACAAGCCAGCCCCAGCCCTTCTCTGAGCAGAGAAGAAAGAGGAACAGTAGTCCGGCCATCCAGTGGTCAGTCTTGGAAATGTTCCCACTACCTTCTGCTCATCCTGTTAGCTTCAAACAGTTTCCCAGAGCCTTGGGCTTCCCTTTGTAAAAGTTCCTTCCCTTTTTAATCATCTCACATGTCTGCCTCTCTTCCTTGACTTCAAGTTCTGTGACAGACATCTCCAGTTCCCTTCCAAGTATCTTTTCTTTTCTTCTTTAGAACTTAGAGAAAACTGATTTTGTCCAGGGCCATTGTTAAAATAGAAGTGGATCCCACTAAAACTGCTTATCTCTCCAGATTCTCTTCCAAGTTAACTAGCCATGCATAACAGTGCAGCTTCCTACAAATTTTTCTTAAAGAGCATAGACCCAGTTACCTGCTCCCCTTTTATTTTTAGATTTATTTTTATATTTTTTTCCTGGCTGGAACATGAACATGATATATCGAAGTGAAGCAGCCAAGAGGATTAAAGGTATAAATTAAAGACGGTGTGACAGGAAGCAGGTATTAAAGACAGGTAGAGTCTCCAGTGGTTTCTGAGCTACTGTACCAGCCCTGTATGATCTAGCTCCAGACATAATGTTATGTAAGAAAAACCTCTTTACTTCCTTAAGTCACTACTGTTTAGGTTTCCTACATGTCCAATCTAAATGTACCCTAACTGAGAGAACCTCTCAGAGAAAGGGCAGACCTACTTCTTGGGCTTTCAGATTTGGCATAGGGCCCGGCACGTAATACTGTGGGAACCTATCCAGTGCTCCTTTATGGATAAGCACCAGGGCTCACCAAGCTGTGCTGACTCCTCGCCTCAGAATCATCATGACTCCTGGACTGCCAGGCTCCGACCACAGTCCATAGGCATCACTGTAAGCGTCACTTCGCTTCTGGCCTTTGCATGGTCACCTGCTTCACAGAAGGGGATCCTCCCCTCTCTCCTGACTCCCTGAACGCCTCTGGAGGCTTCTTCTGTTCAACTTCCTGGCCCACCTTCTAATGATACCAGCCCAGCATAATACCCCTGTGCCATAGTGTTCTCATCCACACAGTGGCTACAATAACAGCACCCACCTCCTAGGTCTATGGTGAGAAATGTCAGCTAATTCTTACAATCAGAAGCATTAACTCACATGATGCTTATCACATGCCTGTCACTATTCCAAATGCTTCAGAGACCACTAACACATTCAGCCATCCCTCTGACCCCACCTACGGGACTAACAACATCCTTACCTTACAGAGGGGCAGACTGGGGCACAGGAAGGCAGAGCACCTCACCAAGGTTCAGTCGCACAAACCTAGTAGGCAAATGAAGATAACACTAAGACAAGCTCTGGCATCCATGCTCTGCCCTGTGACTCTGTGTGGCCTCAGGGCTTCTAATAACACCTGGCTCATCAGAGCCCAACAACTGTTGACAATTAATAGCAGGCTCTTAGCACTTGCAGTTGGCATTCACTGAGCAGCAGGCTTTACCCATATGAGTCACATCCATAACTTCATCCAACATGAGCTTTAGTTCCCATCTACTCATTAGTAAGATTTCCAAACTTGTTCCCAGGGATCTCCCTGCTCAGGAATTTTCTCTACTTGTCCCCTAGGGATGGGGAAAGTTACTAGGAACATCCATCCTTTTCATCCACCCAAGATCTGATATATCAAACTATGACTGACCTCTCCAGGAACTCTGTGAGGATGTTGCCAGCTTATGTGAGTACTCAGCCAGATATAAGATGGAAATTGTACATGGGCCAGTTTTATGGCTAAGATAAAAGTTTATTATAGAAAAGAAACACAACTGGCTGCTCTGTAGATAGTAGCCTAGGAAAGCACAGCAAAGTTGGCTATTCCATAGCCAGACAGCCTAGTTAAAGACAGCAGAAGATGGCCCCTCCACAGACACAAAGGAGGCGTTTGACTTTTATGGAGTCTCATCCTGGGTTCCCATGCATCCCAGTCCTTACCTCAAGGAGTGCATCAGCTTACTTCTTTGATTAACCATTTGCTTTCTTTTCCCTTTATATTACCCCAAAGTAGCTGCCTATTTGTTTCCTATCTGGCAGCTACTTCAAACTCCTGTTTGCTCCCCACCTCAGTTTTATGTGCCTGGACTTTGGAGTCAGACCACATGAATTTAAATCCATCTCTGTAGCTTGCTTGCTGTTTGGCCTTGAGCAAGTGATTGAATTTAACCTACCTTAAAGTCCTGTTAGCTCCCTGCCTCAACAAGAGCCAGAGTGGATAATCTGGTGAATCCTGGGACAGTGAGTTGTATTTTTTGGATATGCTCTTTAGTTCAAAAGGTAGCTTTTAACTGGATCTAACTTTACTCAATGTATTAGTTGGACAGAACAACCAACCCTTGTAAATTGATGGCAGAAAGACTTGATTTAGCTCACAGTTTTGGGAGATACAGTTTATGATCAGTTAGCTTGAAGGTAAGAACATCATAGCAGGAGGACACAGTAGAGCAAAGCTTTTAGTTCATGGAAGCTGGGAAGAAGAGCAGGAGATCAGGGCCAGACAGAAATTGTTACCCAACACTGGAGTGCCTATGGGTCCCTTCCAGGCTCTTGTCCTTTTCAAAGAATTGGACAAGACAACCAAAGCATGTGGAGGTTTAACATTTATTCAAGGTAATCGTAGAGAGAAAAGAAATTTTCTGAAGAAAAATAAGTGCTCTAAAGAATGAGTAAGGGTAAAGAAAACACACTCTGCATGCAGAGCGGGCCACTGTGAGAGAAAGATGATGGTGTCCATGAGGCCAGTGACTGCCACCTTTTATACTCTCAACCTGATGTCAGACCCCAGTTGTCCTATGCAGGACTCTGAAGCTATTCTGCACGTGTGTCCCGGCCATGATTGGCAGGCCTCCATCATTGACAGATTATGCCCAATTGCCTGTAGATTTGCCATGCTTTAATCTTCTGCCTCAGAAGAGGTAAGGGACCCTATAAAGTACCCAAGGCCATACCTCTGTGGCCCACCCAGACACACTCAAGAGCATGTTCTACTAATCTACTAGACATTATTTACCCCAGTGAAGTTGACACATCGGGATTAACAGTCATAGTCTATGTAAATTATATTTCCATAAATCAGAGTAAATAAGTACCTATGTTCACAACACACTCTTCCAATAATGTGACCTTAATGCTGCTCCATTAGATGGATGCCCCCTCCCCTGGACCCTATGACTATTGTCTTGGTTACTTTTCTCTCATTGCTGGGACAAAATACCTGACGCCCAAAATGAAGGAAGGAAAGGCTTATTTCGCTTACAGTTTGTGGAGGTTTCAGTCCATACTTGGCAGATTACAAGGCAGACGAGCACATTGGCAGAGAGCTACAGCTTATGGTGGCAGAACACAGCAAAGCAACAAACACAGCAAAGCAACAAACACACAAGGGAGGAGGAAATGGCCAGAAGCACCCTCTTCCTCTCCCTTACATATGCAAACTATCCACCCCAGGGTGGGTGTAGCTCTCACACCCATAATCAATCAAACTCTAAAAGCCTGCCCCATGGCCGCATGAGGCTTTGGGTGGACACACAGACACAAACCATAACAACTGTGTAACCAAGCAAGGTTAGTAGAAATATCCCTATGTGACTTCTAAGGCAAGGTGAGAGAATGTAGTTTTGCTTTCCTGGGACACGTGTGTCTGGAAGCTAGCTACCATGCTGTGAGGATGCCCAAGGAACCATATGGAGAAGCTGTTCTCTGGTGTGCCCACCAACAGCCCCAGCTGAGACCTCAGGCCACAGCCGGCTCAACTGCTAGACCTGAGTGAATAATCCTGCAGATGGCTCTAAGTCACAGCCATCAGGTCTTCCTTCCACTTTTGGGTCTTCCCAGATATGAGAAAATAGGAAACAACCCACCCTCCTTATTTTCTATCCAAATTCCTGTCCACAGATTCTGTGAGCATGAAAAATAGTTGCCTTGTGCCACTGAGTTTGGGGTTGTTTGTTATACTATAGCAGTAACTGGGACATGGAGCTGCCCTAGAAGAGCTGGGAAGCTACATGGGGCCCTGAGTAGGGCAGGAAAACTCCTTCAAGTACCTTTTGGCAGTCTTGCTTCTGGGCAGGTAGTTGGGCAAGGAATCCTGTAGGGGCCAGCAGGCTTAATCAAGGCCAGAAGATACCCGGAGTCCTTGTCAGGATATGGGAGAAGGGGGCTGTCACAGGTGACAGGTTTTAGCAGGCAGTGCCAAGACAGATGATGGCTCACAATACAAGGTGGATCATCTTTGGAATGAGCACAGGGAGGATCTGAAAAGCCGACAGGCTGGGGCACCACAGAGTTCAGGGAGGAGGATTCTGGAGGCATCCTGAGGCCAGAGATCCAGCCTGCAGGGAGGGCGCTGCTAACACTGCTGGTCATTCTCCCAGGGGGTGAGCAGGGCTGACCTGTTCTCTGGAAATGGGGGCTTCCTGGTTGTGCAGTTGATTCCTTTGAATCAGAGTCCCTGGAGTCCCTGAAAAAAGGGGAAATTGCAGAACAAGTTAAAACAGAGACCAGACAAACTGAGGACATAGAAAATGATAGGGCTGGGAGGAGGCAAGCTGGGAGGCTGCCCTGGAGGAAACTTTCTTAGCTTCACAGTTGCCATGTCACCTATGGGTCCTTGGGTTGAAGGGTACTCAGGCCAAAGCCGTGGCTGCTCCTCCTCCCTCCCTGTTCCTGTGGGGAAGTGCTCTTTTGCCCTCCACAACCCCTTACATAAAGTGGCACCTACAGGTGACCTGCTGCTCAAGCGTACTTGCCTTGGTGACAGCCAGGGAGAGTGCCGCCCTCCCAGGAGGCAGGTGTACCCACACACTTACCCAGCCTGCCCCACCAGCCCTGACCACATCCAATGGCCTCATCCTCAATCACCAGAAAACAATGCAGTAATAAGTATGGGGACATGCCACTCTGACCACCGGGTCATACTCCCCTCAAGTCAGGGCCCCCCTAGGTGGTCCAGAGCCCCTTGCTGAAGCAGAAACGCAAACACTCCCTCAGCCTTCCATCCCACACATCTGCTGTACAGAGGGCAGCCTGCACAAGCTTGACTGAGTTCCTGAGAAGCCCCAATTCCCTGAGCAGCCTCCCACAGGCAACTATACCCTGGGCTCCTTCTCACACCCAGTAAATGAGCCTTCTGGAATACAAACCCTTGGGTGCGCTGGTTGGAATACAAACCCTTGGGTGTGCTGGTTCTAGTACCCCTGAGGCTCCACTTTATCTTGGGCCTGAAACATCTGCAAGGCGTGCAGCAACCCCGCCCCACCTAACAGGACCTGCCCAGAAGAGGTTGGAGGTGGCAACTCCTTGGGTCCTGCATAATGGGCCAGTTGTGGATTCTGCTTCCAAGCAGCCCTGACATCTACTTGCCAGGAGCCTCAGAGTGTGCACAGGGAAGGATCAAGCAGCAGCCAGTGGAGGAACTGCTCAACCCTCCCTTGAGGGGAATCAGGACTTGAAAATTCAAAACATGCCTGAAAGCTGCCATGTGCTTTTAATTTCCCCGTTACCGTAAAAGCAAGAAAAGAAGACATTCAGTGTGTCGGTCCAACCAGCCACTAAAAGAATGCTCCAAAAACAATTCACAATGGCATTTCCTGATATTAATTTTAATTGGATAGTTGAATGCTCAATTATCACAGGCCTTTCACATTTACAGAAAATGTGCGGCCTGGGCAGTCCCCAGCGCGTGGCCATGAGCTGACATATCTTTCATCTGCACAACAGCAGAGCTAACTGCAAGCCAGGAACTTTCCCAGCCTGGATTTGCCTTGATGTCCTGGTCTATGGCTCAGGTTTCTGCAGCCAGTTGTATCTGTGGGGACGACTTGACGCATGAACCAGTGAGGCTCCGTAGTGGAGAAGGATCTTGCAAACTTAGAGACAGGACTGACCACCATGGAGGGGCAGAGAACACCAGAGAGAAAGAGGAGGAGCAGGCAAGTCTCAGAGCAGGAGAATCTCAGGGCCAGGATCTTTGTCAAAACAACTTCACATCCCTGATACATATGTGTAGATATGTATGCCTACGTACACATACATACCATGTGTGTAGATGTATGTGTGTGGGTATATCTGTGTGGATATTTATGTTTGTATAAAGTATACACTAGGTATTAAGTAGTGAAGTATTAACTTTACCCAAAAAGAGGTCTGGCCTTTGCCCTTGACTCCTGAAAGGTGATCTATAAGCCCTTAGAGTGTAACATCTGATAAGTACATTTACCTGGACCCTTGAGCCACAGCTAATAGTCTTAACAAGGTGCTTTATAGTAGAATGTTTGGGACTCAAGATATCAACTTGACCTCTGGAGGTGGTAGAGCTGAGGTCAGCCACCTGGAAAAACCTAAATTTCCCTCTTCTTGTAAGAAAACTATTCATAGGGGCTGGGGATTTAGCTCAGCGGCAAAAGCGCCTGCTTGGCAAGCGCAAGGTCATAAGTTCGGTTCCCGGTACCGGGGGAAAAAAAAAAAAAAAAAAAAAGAACACTACTCATAGTAGGTTTAGTTATAAACTAATCCTCATCTGAACTTGGTTACATTTCCAAAGACCCTGTTTCTAAATAAAATCTCAGTCACAGGCTTCTGGTGGACATGAACTTGGAGGAGACCCTATTCTCAAGGGAAAGGCTGCATCCAGCAAATCACATGCCCCCCACAAGCCTGATCTCTTGCTGGACTTTCAGGGAGACAGGGAGCGGCATAAACATCCTTGGCTCTTCTGTGGACAGCCTTTCTCTCTGCTGCCCCATTCATGTGGAGGTAGGGGTTTATGGACCCTTCACCCCATTCCCAGCTTTTGCTGAGAATTTTGCAGCACATCACTTCCCACTTAGACCTGACTTGGGGCACAATGGGGCAGTCACACATCCTGTTGTCAGAGATCATTTGCTTCAAATCCTCTTTGGCCCTGGTGCTCAGCCTCTCATTCTGTCAGTGCAGGGAGGTGGACATCTCCCAATCTAAAATTAGAAGAAGCCACTGAGTCTGGCCAGAGGCAAACAGAAAGCTGCCCTGTCCAAGGGGAAGTTCTAAGCTTTTTCATTCTGTGCAATTTCTGCCATCTCCTCCCAGCTCCAGTATGCTTTAGAAAGCCACTTACCGGATACCCACCACCCTCTTCCTTGGAAGGGAAGGGTGAGTGCAGTATGAGACAATAGGATAAATGATCTGTCACAAAGCCTGGTGCACAGAATACTCAATCCCGTTAACTATTAGCTATCACTGCTACTGTACACAGAGGGAAAAAATGGTAGCCATAACTCACAAAAATTTTGACTGTGCCTAGCTTAACACGTAACCTATCACATGCATGTTTATTTTTTGAAGGCTTTCTGCATAGCAGCAAGCACTGTACCACTTAGGAGCTGCATTCCTAGTCTGAGAACTACATTTTAAATGACTAAATCATTAATCTTGTAGCATTTCCCAACATCAGAGGGACTCAGACTGAGGCAGGCATCCTGCGGTTGGAAACAGGGAACTGAGGAACCAGTCCTACACAAAGCTTTCTGGGGAGGTGACTGCCAGGAATAGCATCAGAGACCATGTGGTGAAGGCTTACATTGGCTCAGAATGCAGAGGATCATGCTAGACAGCATTTGTCCCTCGGAACTCCACCGCTGATGGCATGAAGCTGCTAATGCAAACTGTGCCCTAGTCAGAAAAGTTCAGAAACTGAAGAAAGTGTCCATGATGGGGAGGCCTCAACAGCTCCAGCCAGAGCAAAATGGCTGCCTCTCCCCAGCTCTGTTTTCCCCTTTCCTCTTGTAGCTGTTGCTAAGTGCCCCAGTTTGGCGTCAGACACTTACAAACTAGCATAGATGATAGGAGACCATCTAGAAAGTTGGGAAGAAAAAGAGCCAAGGTAAGGAGTGGGGTCAGAGAGATGCTCTGAGCAATGATCTAGCCAGAGAAGCAAGCATCAGTACCATTACTTCACCACTATTGCCACCATTATCATCAAAATTGTCACCACTGACATCACCATCAGCAGCACTACCACCTTTATCATTATAATTATCACTTTTGAAATTTTACCAGGCGTTAGGCACTGTACTTTATAGCCACTATTTAATTTAATATAATCCCCAAACAGCTCTCTGAAGCCAGCATTAGGAAACCAAAGCTCAGGGACTGTAAATCAATTTCCCAAAGCCACCAGACAGGAAGGGTAGAAAGGACCATATGGTAAAATCATTATATCTCTTCAATAACATTTAGTAATAAAAGGAGTAGATGGATCAGGCTAAGTAATTACTCAGAAGATTCCAGAAGTACCTGTAGCTCCCTTGGGCTATGTGCCTGCTTCCTGCACATAGTGGGTCAGACTGGTGCAGAGATTTTCATCTCCAGACAACAGCCACAAAAAAAAGGTGTATTGTTATGGGTTGTGTCTAGATGTCCGTCCAAAGCCTCATGTGGTCATAGCTGGATTTTTTCAATGTGGCTGGATCAAGAATGTGTGATGCTGGAATTGATTCATGGTGCAATGCTAGGATCAAAGGGCACTAGGATTAAGGGTGTGAGTGCTACCTACCCTAAGTAACCTTGCTAAAATATAAGGAATAAAAAGAGCTGTGGTCATCCCATGCTTTTTTTTTTTTTTTGCTACCTTCTGCCCACCATGAACTGTTTCTCCTCTGTGATGCCTGTCAGTCAAGCCATTCTGCCTTGGAGTCAGCCAATTATGGACTGAAACCTCACAGACTGTGAGGTACATAAACCTTTCCCCCTTTAGCTTTGGCTGTCAGGTATATTGTCTCAGCAACAAAACAAAAGTAACTGAGACATGTATTATCCATATTTTGTGTGGTTTCCAAGAGTAATCCCCTCAAGCCCCATCTCAACCATGACATCAAAACAAGAGAAAGGTGACGCCTATCAGCCTCGGAAGGAATTGAAGGTTTCCACCAAAGGGCTTGTCTCAACAACAGTGACATCATATCACGCTCAAAATTTCTTTAAAATGTTCTCTACCCTTTCATAACTTTCATATCTAGCAGCAGCATCTTTTCCACTCTGCCCTTCTCTCTCCCCATACTTCTGTCCCATGGTTTGGGGCTCCATGGCCCATCCCAGTCTCTGGTTCACAACCTGCCTTCCTGAGTGTCTCTTCTCCTCTGTGGGTAGCTATCAGCTCCTTCCCCTGGCTCCTTCCTTTGTGTGTGTGGACACTTCACTTCACTGTCAAGGGAGGAGCCGGCATCCAAGGCTTTAGGCTGCTCCTCAGGAGACCTGGATGGGTAAGGTTGCTGATACGACGTGCTTCTGTTTTCCCTCTCAAACAGATGAGAAATCTGAGGCTCAGAGAGGTCATTAACAGCCAGACAGAGGCCTGGTTGGAACTTTTACAAATTCTGAGCACATGGCAATTTTTCCTATTAGACCCCAGCCTTCCTTACAAAGTAGAAGGGAGTCCAAGTGACCCCAAGTTTCTGTGATAACTCAGGCTTGGAGGACAGCCTTAACACATATATAAAGGAGACAACTTTAGTTCTAAGCCTTACCCCAGCACCTACCAGCTGTAGGACCTCAGGAAAGGACCTCACCATTCCCCTAAAAATCTGGCCTTCAGGCTGCATAAGGCAGAGGAGGAAGGCCTGGGTCAGGCAGCTGGGTGTCTTCTTGCAGTGACACTGAAAAACATTGTAGTGTCCCACAGCTTTGAGATCCTCCACTGTTATGGTGTATGGTTAGAGCATTATCCTCCCTCCAAAAGCTCATGTATTCAGAAAACAGGCTTTTGAAAGGTGATGGGATCATGAGGACTCTAACTCCCACCGTTGATGGGATTGTAATTGGATGGCATTACTGAGAGGTAATGGAAAGAGGTGGTGAGGCCTAGTGGAGGGAAGTGGCTCATAGGGTCCTGACCTTGGGGGCTATAAGCCAAGTGCCCAGCCCTTTCCTCTAAGTTCCATCCCTATCTCTCTGCTTTCTAGATGCTATGAAGTGAGCAACATTCCTCTGCCATGCTTTCCTACCATGATGTTTTGGCCTTGCCACAGGCCTAAAAGCAATGGAGCTAGGATATCATGGATTGGAACCTCGGAAACCATGGGCCAGAGTACATTTTTCCTCCTGTGAGTTGTTTTTCTCAGGTATTTGGTCACAGTGATGAAAAACTAACATACTCACTCCCAAAAATCTGTTAGCCTGCATGCATATCAGCTTTCAGGAGATGGAGAGAGAGAGAAAGATAGAGAACAGGAGAGAAGAACGGGGGTGGGGGGGGATTTTACCTGTTAGTTCACTCCTGGGAATAAAATATCCTTCCTTAAGGCGGAACTCCCTTTTTCAACATTGTCTTCTGACAATTCTTTGAAGCTGAAATTCACAATAACATTCTTTTCTTACTGCTTCTCTGAGACAGAAACAAGCTTTTTTGAAAGAAAGAGCCTCAGGCACAGATTTCAC